CCACTGACCATGTTTAGGCATATCTCATTTTTAAATTAGCATTTGTTTCATACCATGAAACTCTTTACTTCAAGATGTTAAAAAATTAATTGAAACAAAGCCAGAATTGTTCTTTTCTGATGAAATACACCTGAAAGGTGATATAAGGTCATAAGAAAACCAGGGAAAATACATTGATGAGAAAAATAATAATGCTATGAATTTATAGGAATAAAAGATTTTGTCAATTATGCTAGAAACTTTTGCATCGATCTAAAACGCAATGATTGTGGTGCTATTTGAGACCCTGAAAGTCAAGGTCAGATTGAGGGAGAAAAAACAAAAGCCTGACTGAGTTGCAGCTGAAAAGAAACTCGGTGCAAGGCAAATGGAAGACATTAACGAGAAACTCAAGAAATAAATGGATCAGATCAAATTAATCCAGCATAACAGGACTAATAACAAAATAATAATCAATGAAAAATCCAGCCTGACAGGGATGAAGTAAAGGTTATCAATTAGCCGAACAGCTACTTTTTCTTTTCTTTTTTTTTGGGGGGGCTTTTCCAAAGATAATTATGTATGCATATAATTGTGAACATAAATGTAGAGAAATTTTTTTTTTTAATTTCACCTCTCTCTAAGCAAAAATTATGTTGGTAAGTGGGATCGTGATCTAAAATTAAAACTCAAGCTTACAGAAAAAATAAGTTATAATTCACTTCAAATATTTTAAGCCAGATTAAAAAAAAACTTTTCAAGTTATTAAAAACTGATATTAATACATCTAAGGTTTCAATTAAAATTATCTGTAAGTAAAACAATTTGCCAATGTAGGTCAAAAGTTTATCTTTTATTGATGTCAACAAGTTTAAGATTTGTACAGTTGATCTTTGTAAACTATTTTTAGGTAATATTTTATCAAATTTATAAAAATTATTTCTCCAACAAAAATTTATAAACATATTTTTAAGTTTCAAGTTCAGGCTTTGCCTTTTGTGTAACTGAAAATATTTGCTAATCTAATTTTAGAATATATATATTATATATATATATATATATATATATATATATATTAATTAATGGACAAGGTCCGACAATTTATTTATTAAATTCATTTTTTATGTTTAACGTTGTTATTTATAGATACAAGTATTTAAGCAAATGCTCTGTTTATGATAAACAGTATTAAATAACATTTACCGCCTGAATGTCTGAGAAATTTTCATAGAAAATATTCGTTCTTTGACAGGATTCGAACCTGCATCCTATACGGAACCGTCATTTACGCTGGACGTGCCTTAACCGCCTCGGCCACAAAGAACCTATTCTATGAAAATTTCTCGACATTCAGGCCGGTAAATGTTATTTAATACTGTTTATCATAAACAGAGTATTTGCTTAAATACTTGTATCTATAAATAACAACGTTAAACATAAAAATGAATTTAATTATATATATATATATATATATATATATATATATATATATATATAAACACTGGCATTATACTAATAAAAATAAAATAAATATTGTATGGATTGGCACTTATGCCAAGGTTCAGAGCATCCATATTATCTACTAAGAATAAAAATGTCACTCCCCAGTGTGTATGTGTGTATGTGTGTGTGCATTCCCCAGAACATGTCTGTGATCTGTGTGTGCATGTCCCTTCCTTGGTACTTCTGTCAGTATGTCCATGTGCATTCTGTGAAAAGAGTTACACATAAACATATATATAGATATTACTTTTTCCAGACAATGTGGCTGGCACTTAAGAAAACTTATTTATCTTCCCTTTTAATTACAAAATCAAAAGAATTAGCATAAGTAACGACAGATACTTTTTTTTTTTTCATCTCTCTACCTACAGGACTGACAAATATTGATCTCATTATGTTTCCTGTCAAATTTTCTTAAAAAATTATAAGCATTTCACAACAAGTGTGGGATACACAATGAAGCAACAAATTTACAACTCAACACAATATACAATAGCCTGTTAGATGAGGTTGATAATTGTTATCTAATGGTGAGGTTCCTGCATAAACAGTAAAATAACTTTGCACAAGAAATATCACCAAAAAAGATGAATTCTTTTCATATTAGCCAGTGTTTTATAAAAAATTTTGATTAGAATGTCTTTTATAAATTAACTTGAATTATGTTTAAAGGTTTTCTAAGTTTATGAGAATTTTTTTTTTTTTTTTTTTTTTTTACTCAAATTCACCCTCTAGGTTTCAGTGTCAGGGTAGATGCAAAACATTTCTTAAAATGAAACATTGCAGACTGTACTTTCTAAAAATAATCAATAGATAAAATCAGATCCTCCTAAAAAGACATTCCTCTTCAAACACTCCAAATATTAAATCAATTACATCCATGTTGCAAGACTGATGAACAATGGTGAACAGGATCAAATCAATTGGCAACAAAAGCATTTCAACTTCTATCTAGAAACTAATACAGTTCATATTATGGATTGCAGTAAGGATCTTGCAGAAAGCTATTTGTAAATCTGGAAATAATGAACATGCAGATAAGATATGGAGAGCCTAGAAACATTACGACTCTCCACCAATTACAATCAGCCAGACACCTTGCCCGAATGCTGGGCATCAACCTACCCAAAAATCCTTTTCTCAGAGCTCACATCTGGCAAAAGACCACATGGAGCCCCACGTCGTAGATTCAAGGATCAGCTCAAAAGTACCTTGATGATGACAAAAATTGATCCAGTCAATTGGGAGATGGAAGCTGCAGAAAGAACCAATTGGAGAAAAGCAGTCCAAAAAAGAAACAAGATCCTTCAAAAAACACCAGAAAGCAAATAGAAGAAATGAAGAAACCCCAAAGAAAAGCTAGAGCTTTCCATTCCCTGAACCCTCCTACACTACCATGCAGTGGCTGCAGATGTCTTTTCAGATCTCTCATTTCACCCCAATACTCAGCAATGAGTTCCACCATGACAAGATAAGAAAAAGTGCTTTACTTTTTAAACTGCATGACTATGACAGAAAAACATTAAGGCAGGCAGACAGATAAGTATGTCAAATTGATTATCAACCAATAAATGAATATATTGGCTACAATTATTTACCTAAGCTTAATCTGATACAAGGTTACAGTAGGGAAGCACCCAGTGATGATCAAACTCACTTGACTAGCAAACTAATCCACTACCTGCAATTATTAACCATCATGCTACATTTGCACCCTAACTAGACTGGTTATAATTATTTAAGATCATAGTAATAAGGCAGCCAGCAAGGATCAAACTCATAACAGATTAAATATCAGAAATTACAAGTTAAAAGCATTTTATATATTGAATATATTACTCAGAAAATTTCAATATTTTCAACTATCAAAGAAATTAATAAAAATGGAAAATTAGCAGATTATATTTAATTATTTAATAATTTAATTAAATATTAGCATCTATAGATACATATACATTTAAATTTATTCCCACAAATTTAAGGCAACACATTGTAATTTGAAATAGCCCAAGTTTTATTCAAAATATTATCAATATCTCCAAATAAATCATTTAATTAAAAACAAAATCTTTTGAAGACAGACACAAAAATTTGTAACTGCTAAAAGCAGGAATAGACAGACAATTTGACAATTTCATGCATATCATAAGCAACATCCAAATCCAAAGATTGCTTCTACACATACATGCATATATACATAATAATAATAGCTAGCCACTCATATTCGAGGATACTCATCCAGTAGGGCAGCTAGTCAATCCCTATTAGAGATGCTCGCTCAGGCACATTTGTGTTCGCTCAACACCCACAGAGCCCACCTGTGGTTTATCCTGCAACTATGCTGAGCAAGCCTTAGTTACAGTTTCTGGGAGAGAGCATGTTATCTAGCGTGATCAACAATTTGAACAATACCAACATGCTCAAGCTCATGGCCACAATGACTTGTGGCTTCGTACAGGCACAGCTGTCAACAGTCCCCAAGAGTTCAGTCTACCCAATTTCACTCACAAGACTTGGGTAAACCTGTGGTATAGTTTTCAGGCACTTTCCAAATGTGCCACATGCTGGCATCAACCTCAACCCTGTCCAATAGCATCAGGAAGTCTTCTTCCTGACAAATCGACCCTGGTGAGATTCAAATCCAGATCTCATGGTCAGAAAGTGAATGTTCTAATCACTCAGCCACAAGCCCATATACATACATATATACATACAATGGCAGATTTTATTATGCAAGTCAATGTTTTCACAATAGAATTGTTATTAATCAATTGATGTTGGTAACATTTTCAAGGTATACTTATATGAGAAATATATCATGTTAGTTTCCGCTTATAATATCTACCTGTATTACTTGTTTCTGGGATTTCAAAGTCTATTATAAGCAGTAGAACAGAAGATTATTTATAAATAAAACTAAAAGATATCAAGCCAGATAGACAAAATATTTGATTAATATAATATCCCATGTATCTGAATAAATAATTATTCTATTATTTTACATTTTAATCAGTCAGTTAAGTGCCATACATGATACATGCTTGGGCGATCATGTCTGTCAATTCATGACTGACTAGGCAGTAGATTTTCCCACAGTAGGTAGCCCGTCCTGCTATTCAATCCATAACTGAGAGGAGCAGATACGGATTCATATCCTACCCAAAGTTATTTGCACATAAGTGAATATAACAAACTCGACTGGAATTCAAACTTAGATCTTAATACAGGCTCCTTAACATTCTATAACCTTTTCTCAGGCCTCCATTGTTGATATTACTTGCAGCAGTTCCCAGAGATCTTGACTGCTTAAATATTGTTTTCCTTCCTAATATACATCTCTTTTAATGATGATCTAAAAATTTCTATAAGATCTGGGGAGATGCAAGAGAGGGCAGTGTAAATTTCAACTTAAAGAACTCTGACAAGTGATATTTTAAGAAAAAAATGATTTATTCAAAATGCTTCATTTTCTACATGAAGGACTGCATGGCTACTTTTCTTCTGTCCAATAGTATCTTACAGCCATGTCACACTGAAACAGCGGTTCCCATATAATCACCGGAAGTTAAGTAATGTTGAGCCTGGTCAGTACCTAGATGGGTGACTGCTTGGGAATACCAGTTGCTGTAAGCTTGGACATGTAGTTGATGTAATGGATAATAACTCAGAATTGTTAATCAGAGAAATAAGCTCCAATTCCAATCATGTTCAGTGTATCCTCTTATGTGCAAATATGAGAAAGATATGTATCCACATCTTCTCCTCCCAGCTATGGGTTAATTAGTAAGATTTGTATCACTAAATCATCAGCTCTAAAAATTCTTACAATATAAAAAAATATATATTTTCTGGCTTTAAATAACCTGTAAAAAACATGAATGAACAGTTTTGCCTGAATATGCTCTTGCACAAGAACTTACAACCACTCTCTGCATTTATCTTGTTACCATCAGCAACTTGAAAAAGACCCATAATTTTAATGCTGACAATATTAAACAAAAAACATTACTTCACCTCCAACTGTTGTCTTCTAAATTGCATTGATTGAATATTTCCATAAAGGACCCAACCTCTTGCCTAGATCTTAAGTCCATCCAATGTAGCTTTACAATCATCACTAAACATTACTGTTTAGAAATCAGTTTTCATGTACTTCTTCACCAAATTTACATGTGTCACTTTGTGATATTTACTTAAAAGGTGTTATTTTGGCTATTTTCATGTCTAGCCAATTTTCTTAATATTTTGAATCTTTTCTGTTTATAGTCATAAGACCAGTTTCTTCAACTATTTTCTTGCTGATCAATCAACATTTATTCCTCTTCAGGATATAGGCAATCATAGCTCTCCACAAACTCTTTTTCTAATCAGTGAATTGCCATGACTTCAAGTAAAATAGCAAAATGGTTTCCCATTACCTTCTCCATAAATTTGAATTTAGAGTTGTCTACTAAACTGAAGACTAATCTGCTATTTTGCCCATAGCTGCAGAGAGACAAAATCAATTCATGCCTTTCACAATAGCATTAGTATAAAGTGAAAGTGGCTTACCAATTCAACTTTCCATGACAATAACAATTACTCTATCAGTACACCATCTTGTTTATTACTCATAATTTTTTCTCAAATCTCTTTATGACATTCTTAAAGCATTTTTTTTTTTGTTCTTATCTTACCAAGGTTTTTAATCTCTTTGATTATTCTCTGGTTGCCAACTTTCTCGCAATTTCCAATGTGTTCCTATCACTAAATATCTTTACAATACTTGCTTGTCTTTCAAAATTGTTTCTTATGATTCATGGTAATCACTATACATGAAATTAAAAAATATGACTATAAATTTATTACATCATAAAATCTCACAGCAATAAACAAGTTATTGCAAATATTTTTAACAAAAACAAATATTACAAACTGAAGTTGATATGGTATATTTATTATATAAATAAAAGTTTATTCCAAAATCTTTTCCAATATCAGTTGATTAATAATAATTTTATTTTGAAAACATTACCTTGCATAACAAGATCTGATGTAGTAAGCAAGAAATTGTACTTTTTAAATAAAGACAACTGCTGTACTTAAAGAGATGCAATAAAAACTCTGAAATGTTTCATATTGGTTAAGGAATGTCCAAAAATCAAATGAAATTGGGAAAGAGGAGAATGAAAATGGAAAATAATTTTATTCAAATTAATTACAGCTTATTTCATCTCATTTCCCAGAACAAAGAAAAATCATTTTTTTTACATTGAGCTAATACTGAATTGGTCAGTATGTAACTGAATTAAAATTTGAAACCAACAGTATGATTGCTATATACAAAGTCATAGCAGCTTTTGATAAAAGATTAAAAAAAAAAAAAACTTAAAAAAAATAAAAATAAATATAAAAAATGAGAAAATTCATGTCTGTACTATCCTTAAATATTATTTTGATTTATATGAAGTGTTTTCTTTTCTTTGATAGGCGCACAAACAAATTACAGGATATGAAACAACTACATAATCATCATTAAGTTATTTTAAATATTTAACATTTTTAAATAATTACAAATTTATTTCTAATAAGATATTCATATAGCAAGAATAAATTCTTTCGCCAGTCAACTCAAGGGAAAGCAGAAATGATCATTTTTATATATCCACAACAAAATACCTTCATATTTATTAAAATATTTTTCTATATATATGAATGTATAATTATCCAGATAAAAGAATGAATTTCCTATGTCATTTAATGAATCACACTTCACATAATGCAGTGGTGAGATATGGAGACAGTTTCTATTTTAAAATCTAGTCTGACCCAATTTTGTCAACTTGTTCATTTATACAGCAAGATTATTCCAGTTGAATGACTTAGATTTATTTAAAGTGGCCTGATTATTTAACAGCTTGTCTGAACAAGCAGACATATTAGCACATAATTTCTTTTATAGATTTGTTACAAATGCCAGAAAATACTGGCCTTTCTTACTACCATTTTGAATATTTCCAAACTTTTAACCATCTACTTTAGAAAGAAAAATATCCATTTGTTTACAAACAGTTAATCAATAGTGATTGAACTCAATATTGCTTATGGTAAGAACTTATGTTTTAAGCACAAAGTAACAATTTTCAAGTTCAAACAGCACTGAGCAACACTGTCAGGAAACATGAGAAAATAAAAGTGCGCTAAGTTTTAGTCTATTATAAAGATTGTCAACTTAGAATGTAGACAACTCTATCAAATGGACAAAATGTCAAGACTTAAAAAACATATTTGAATGCCATTACCTCAATGTCAAAATAACTAAATCAAAGTAAAAGACATGATTTATTGTTTTTGGTATATAAAGCAAATAAAACAATAGTCATCAACAAGATAACACATTTTCTAATGGATAATTTTTGAAAATATAAAGCGTTCAAAGTTTGTTTGTATAAATTAGTGTCTGCAACTAATTCAATACAATTATATATAAAAAAAGGAAGAAGAAAAGCTTCTGAAATAACTGAAGGGAATAATTTCATTAGTGCAAATTTAAGCATGTTCTACATTTTGTTCACACAATTGCTATATTCATATTTTTAATAAAATACTAAAAATAAACCAAATGAAAGTACAGATATGTACAAATTCTTTAACTGATAATAAAATTATTTCAGTTTTTTTGTTTTTGGTTAGATTCCTTTTACTTTTTATATTAGGTACTGGATCAGTACTTGTTGTGTTATGAGATTCCCATCAAAGTGATTAAATGTGAAGAGAGTAGTTATAAATAAATACATTTTTATAAATGTGATAAGGAATCATAATGATTATTCTAGAGATAGAAATCCATATTTGTATATATCCACTTTTAGAAAAAAGTTTGTACATATAACCTCGTTTCATGACCATATGGAAACAAACAACTTATCTGGCTATCAAAACAGCCTGAAATTCTGCAAAACAAGAATACAGTAGAAAGTAATATCTACTGAAGAAAACTGGAAAGAGGTGATATAGATATGATGGGTGTTCAGTTACCAGTGCAACTGCTTCTTGTAACATCAAAATTGCCAATAAATTTATCAGAAAATATTTTGGTCACACATAACCAGTTATCAATTTACTTTTTCCATTCAGTTCTCAAAGAATATAGCAGACCATTTAAAGCATTTACAATCTTGGATCAGCATCAGAGCAGACAGCTGAGAGTAGAGACAGTATTTAGAAATCTATTTTAAGCATAAAGTTGATGACTGTTACTACACTCCAATCAAATAAAATACAAACTAACAATATATAGAAGCAGTAGTCACTCATGCCAGGCTCAATCTTTTGAGTAAATTTTTAAGCAATGCAGCCCTCCACTTTTTATATATGCATATTATTTTCTTGAACAAACTTTATAGCAGTACTTTCCATGATTTATTACAATATTTATTTTCATATAAGAAATCTAGAGTTTAATAAATCTAAGGTTTTAACAATGTTTTTCATGAATAACACTTTCACTTTTATTTAAATAGAGAAAATTTATGATAATTTCCAAGCCCAGTGTATAGTTAATATTTGGAAATTATCATTTTATATTTAACATTAAATTGACATTTTGAATACACAAAGAATCATACAGAAGTATTAAAAAAAAAAAAAGTGTATTCATATTTTTTATGTGCTACAACAGTCTCTTCTACAAGAAATGTCAAAGTTTTATGAAAATCGATAACAAAAAATGTTGCAAATGTGTAATAGAAAAAAAAAAAAAAGAAGGAACAAAACCACTACACCTATTATACAGTCACCTTTATCAAAACGTTCAGTGCAGTACAATAAGATACCTGATAAGTTTGGTTAACGAGTCAGAAATGTAAATAGTGATAAGCAGTCTATAATTTAATGAATTTTCACTATATAGTAGAGACACAATATTAAAAGGAAGGAAACTTAACAACAAGAGAAATCATTTTAATGAACAAATGCAATTCTTCTTCTTCTATATGCCATGTCTCTTTAGGATATAGGTGATCATGGCTCTCCACAACTTCTATCCCTTGCAGCTCTTAGTAAGGTTTCTCTTTTTAACATCATTTCCATTCCCTGTTCTGCCATTCAATAAGCTCATCAAATAGGTGGCCTTCTACCAACCTCTGTCTCTTGATTTCACTATATCCTATGAGTGTCAAATTTTCCAAGCTCTCCTTCCTCATTATGATCCTCAGCAAAAACATCTTTCCATTTTCCTTAAGAAGTTCTTGTTTCTTACACACTCCATCCATGATATTCTCAGTATTCTGTTACAGAATCACATTTCTGTTGCCTCCAATCTTCTTTTTAATTTGTGAGGTGATTGTCCAGCATTTACTGAAATTTAGGAGGAGTGATATTACATAGTAGTTCAGTACTCTTTTCTTTATATCTAATGACATTTTCCTGTTTCTTAGTACTTTGCCTAATTTTTGGTAATTTCAGGTAGGGTCTCCAGATTGTTTAAGATAGCCTTGTTGTAGAAGTTGAATAAATCTGGTGAGAGGATACATTCTTGTCTTATGACCCATTTCTATTTTTGTGTACTTACTCAATTCATTTTCTATTCATATGCAGGAAGCTTGCACCCAGTATAAGAATGTTGATAAAAAAACATTTGTCCAAATTTTC